ATATATATATATAACTTTAACGATACAGTATATTTCATAAATTTTATAAATTTCATACTTAAAACTAAACGGTCGAGTTACAGCACCGCATAAACAAATTCTGTGATACAATTGAAATATACTACAATTAATTATTTAATAAAGCTATACGCTAACTCTTTTTACACACGTTTGAAAAGATATGACCGATCGATGAACGACGGTCGCAGAAAGTAGTTCACAATGCAGGAATATTGAAATATGTGTCGAGTTGAATTCCAAAAGTTTTTGATTATTTTTCACAAGTACACTAAAAATCCCGTCGAATGTTAAATCTAAATAAATTTCGCAAATTAACTTTCGTAATTACTTTATTTTATAAAAGATGCAAAGATACAAGCACCAATTAAATTCTTTTAAGAGATACATAATTTCTTAAGTTACTATATGCAAAATGAATTTTAGAACATTGTATTATTACATAAATTAAATGTAAAAATTAACAAGAAAAAATTAGTGCACATTAATTATTTATTGATTATAAACTCTAATTAATACTTTATACATTATAAAGTAAAATATTAAAATAAAATAATAAAAAATTTTTTTCTCTCTTTCTTTTTTATTTATTTCTCATTTTAATTATTTTACTAATAAATTTGGTTGATTCTATATAAGTAACCCCAATAACCATCTAACTTTAACATATCTAGATAATTATATGGTTAAAGCGAAGGTACAATACATATTCATATGTATAATATAACCTTGTACCACGATAATTAAAACACTACCCATGAGTACGCGAGGCATTCCATAAACGTGACATATTCAAAATTATGCATAACAAACTTTTTACAGCTCTCTTCACATTCTCCAAGGAAATAAAATTTCAATTCAAAGTGAAGCGTTTGCAGTTTATGCTATTTTGTTGCGTTGGCATTTTTGAAAATAAATGTAGTATTTGTTCATCATCAATGTTCTCATTTCTTTTCTTTCGTAGAAATGTCTACTGGCTTTGATACTTTAGTTGAAGATCTGTTTCACAGAAAAAAGTGCTTTTCTAGATGTACGCAAGGTGTATCTGAGAAAAATATCATATTTCCTCTACACAGAATCTGCAGTCTCAAAGAACGACAGTTGTTTCTACGAGCCCCAGCAATATTTTTTTTATATCCCAAACTACTGAAAGATAAAACCTGGCAGAATCGCGAAAACATTTTAATGAGAAACGTGTTAATGATATTCAAAAAGTTAACAACATTTTATTTTTCAACAAAATTCTATTTAAAATTTATCCTAATCGAAATCTGGCCTGACATATAATCTGATATAATCTCTTTGATGTAATTTGATACAATATAATCAACAAAATTGTAATATAGAAATACAAATATTGAAATATTTATTCATCAAATTAAGAGAAGATAAAATATAAATTCAAATAATTTATAGTAAAATAAATCTCGATATCTGGAGAATCTCTATATTTTTAATAAAAGCATAGCTGCTATATACGCACACACCTAAAAGCAAGTAACAAGAATTTATTCCACAAACTAATTCCCATGTCAACGAAGATAGCTGGGGAAAGAAAATAGAGAATGAAAATCTTGTTTTGATTACAAATCTTCTCGCGACGAGACAGATAATAATGCTGCATAAAGCATCAAATAAGCACAAAGGCTACTTTCAAACTCATTTTGTTTTAAAATTCATTATTATAATAACTAATAATCTTCAGTATTACGTTTACAAATACAGAAATAAATTTCTTATATTTTATTCCGCATTCGGAAATCTATTCACATAGAATATTAGAATACATTGTTAATCCTTCTTTGCCAAAAACATGACGAAGGATATCTGCAGTGTGTTAGCTCTGCTTTAAAAAGAATTACTTTGTAAGAGGTGAATTATATTCTCCTCGATAAAGTTACAAAAGAAAGATTCTTGTAGTAATTCTTGCGCTTATGCTGTTTTTAGCGATGTAAACAAGTTCGCCACATTAGTTCGCAATACATGCAGTGGAATATAATAAAAAAGCAGAATTATACAGATAAGGCAAGTATTTTTAGAAAAATATCAACGCTTTATGTTTGATATTGTATAATATTTTTAACTTGGACATACGTATATGTACAAAGATCATCATTTGTTCAGTAAGTACACAAGGGAAAACATCTTGCATTATGCAGTTACATTTGTTCCCGCCCTGTTACGCCAGCCATGCTGTTTACTAGATGGACACAAAAAAGAGGCAGACCATTTGCTTGCTCTATCAGTATCTTAATCGCTATCATGTTTATTTCAGTGTAATTATCTCTCCTTATTCTTTTCTTAAATAAACAATTGCTCTTTACTGTCGCGGGCATCCTACTTTTTAAAGATACAAACTCAGCACTCCTTATTCATTAACGAAAACGGTAAGTCATATCGCCATTAATAATTCATAAACAGTTACGTACTAATTGCGAAAGAAGACGATGCAAATAGACAAGAAGCCGGCGCGGCGCAACGAAGCACAAAATTATTAAAAGTTGCAAAATGGAAAAATTAGAATTTTAAATAACTACGTTGAAACTGTTTACTTTCCCGTGAAATGTGTCATATTACGAGATAAATATATAACCGTAGTCACTGATAAAATAATGGGATACAGGCAATCGTAAAAAAGAGACGTTTCTTCTCTTTGAACTTTCATGTCTGAACACTTATTCCTTTATGAGATGTGTTTCACTATTGAAGTGAAGTGAAATACGCGCATTACGCAATTCTGACGTAATGTAAGTAGTGTAAGCAAAAGCTTATGCAAACAAGCAGCCTTATGGTCAGTATTAGCCCCAACTCGTGCATCACGTTTATAGCGTTAAATCTGGCCTGGCTTTCAGCTCACGGCGCAGTAACGTTATACGTGATCTCTTCGCATTAAACAATGAAAGCTGCGTTAAAGATATAAAAAATTGTATTCTCCTTTTTTTAATTTGTCAACATTAAACTCTTTTTCTCACTTCGTTCGATGGCATAAAATCGCTGTGAAAGTAATTATCACCCTATTTTCCTCTTCGTATATGCATACACAAGTTTGTAACACAACAGAAATAAGGATTTTCCGACAAAATTGCAACTCTACTCTAGAAATTAGAATGACGTCATTAAATCCTTCCTGCTCACACTCGTCTGAATAAAAAGTAAAAAGCTTACAAATCAGAACAGTGAAATACAACGAGATCGAAGAGAGTATAAAGACGCGTAAATAAAGGGGTCAAATGGAAAAAACTGAACATTAAGGAGCACATTTTACTATGTCACTCTCATCAAAATAAATGTACCTTCTTAATCCCAAGATGATGATAAGATGATGGTAGCCTCACAAAATACATTTAACGACATATTAGTTTACATCGGCGGATAATTAATCTCGATATGCCGCTGCGCCTGAATATTGGACAAAAAGAAAAAAGACAATACGCAATAGGATAGAGAACTTTCCGTTCGTGTAATGAAGCATGATATCAATATCGAAAATAATTAAACGGAAATCGTATCAGAGTACATGCACACATACATACATTCTCTTTCCCTTTTCTTAATATTTACCGGTACATAATAAATCAAAGAACTCATTTCGCATTTATCATTGCAAGACATCTCTTGTTAAATACGTAAAGTGTCTTTGTGTTTGTCACTACATATAAACGTTTTGTAATAAGCATTATCATGAGCATCAAATGCGATTTTAATAAAAAACTTTTTATAAAATATAAACTATATTAAATTTAACTAAAATATAAACCATATTAATTTTCAGCATTACTAAATTACATTTTTCATATTTGTATTTACGTCATATTAAAACTATTTTTAATCCTTATTACAATTTTAAATTTAAATTATCTGCTATATTATCTACTGTTTCATATTTTGAAATTATAGATATTTAATCTTAATCAAATATACGTTTGATGTATATGTATATTTGAATTAGATTGAGGAGCAATTAATTGTCATGTGTTAATGGAGCAATTATTTCTCGCCACAAATTTGTACATAAAGCTGATAGAATCATCTAATATTAACAAAATCTCTTTTTCTCTCTTGTTCTAGAAACTAAAAATTCTCTTCAATTTAGGATTATATCCGGAAAATATCCGGATCGCGTTAGCAGGGAAAAGCCGATATACCCTTGTCAATATCCGACAAACATCGAATATTAGGGAAATAAGGAAATGGGGCTATTTTGATCTCTAAGCTTTAAGATCAGTGATTCTCAATATCAGAAAATTTAACATTTAGCAGTAAATGCGATCCATGATAAAATAAATTAACTTTCTCCATCTTATTTGCAAGTTTCGAGAATACAAATAAAGTAAGCAAAAAAAATATTCTCGTTATTCCCAAGCGGATTTTTACTTTTTATTGAATTCATATTCAACAGAGTTAGCCGAGAAGCTATATAAAATTGGATGTTAAACAGCCGCGGGCAAAGTTACGTCCAATTAAATTTTCGAGCAAATCTATCGAATAAGCGATATATATAAAAGAAAACGTTGGCCTAATTTAACACAAAGAGGAGGTAAAAAATTGAGATGACACCAAATCGATCACTTACCTTCGACAATGTGTGGGCGCGACGGGCCAACTCCTTCTCGTTCTCAGAATTATAGCGGGTGGTCTCGCGTGACCGACAATCGGCGCTGAGGTGCGTCCCTGATTTCTTTTTCCCCAAAGATGACCGCCGACGGGCACGTTACCATATCCCGGTATTCCAGGATGCGGTCCGCTTTCGCTGCAAGCGCGTCGCGAGAACATTTCACGTTTTTTTTCGTCACACTTCATCATCATCATCGCATGAATCCCCGTACTTGCTCGATCACCGATCGAGCTCTGCGCAAAACTCGCCGCTCGTAAAAACCTCGTGATAATAAGAAAGCGAAATATGGTCTGATAGGTCTTCTCTACGTAACGATGCGCGAGTTTTAATGAGCTCTTTTTATAACCGCACTAACAGTAAACAGTTTTCCTTCTGCCTCGCACTTAATTGCGTACACGTATACGTCATCCCCTTCATCCCGACATATACTGACAAATCATCATTACATATCACACAAAATCAGTTAATAGCAATATGGTAAAAATGTTATTCATTCATATAAAACAAAATTAATTCACCATTTTGCTCGGTATTATTCATAAAACAATTTTAAAATTCCGTAGCACTATTTAGTTTTCTATTCTATTTTTTATATCCTTGGGCTCAATTTAAAAATTTCATAGCACTATAAAGTTTTTTATTCAGTTTTTTTTTTATATCCTTGAGCCTTCCGACAAGTCAAAAGCAATGACAGATTCGCTTTGAATATGCGGCTACGAAGCGGCAAAGCGTACATCGACGTAGGTTTCCATAACAAATATCCGTAGGATATTTGTCGTTTACTTCGGGAAATTCACGGTAAGCTAGTCGTACAAAGTCGTTGAAATTTAAATCGAAAATTTGAGAGAAAATCACTGATTCATGCCACAAACTCAAATTGAACTTTGATCATTAGTAGTCAACTAAAGTACGGTAAATGTCAGTTTGAATGATCGTAAATCATCAGATAGCACTTGAAAACATTTCAAAATTATTAATCATATATCATTTCCCCCTCTCGCCACTGAAATAATGTCGTTTATGTGAATGTTCGCTTTCTATCGTTCATAACATTTGCAACAATCAACAATAACATCGCCTAATATTTGCATGTTGTTAGCATAATTGCTATCGTGCGTTCCTGCACCGATGTTCTTGTCCTGGATGCTCGTAATTTCCATCTGAAATTGAACAATCGGAATTCCCGTGAATGTCACGCGACATTTCTACCAGGAATAAAATCGGGAGCACGGAGTACATTGCAACTTGTCGCATTGTGGAACTCTATATTCTTATAGATTTTAAGCAATTATTTGAAATAGACTCTCAATGTAACAAATCTAAAGTAGTCAAATTCATAAACGAATATATTGGATATTTCCCCGATAAATAAAAATAAAAATGATAAAGTAACGCATTTGTCACTCTTTTACGTTTTCATTTTTGTAATACATATATCTATCTAAAGAAAACCAACTTCTGTGGAAAAACATTATTTACGTCAAATGTATTCCTATACGAGCTAAAATGATAACGCGATACTTCGCAGGTGAAATGCGCAAAGTAGAGTAACGCACGTAGACTAATATAGTTTCTAACATCGCGAAGCTTTTTGTAGGAGTGTTTTACACTTCAAGTATGTGGCACGGTCGAGGAGTAAAAAAGCTCAGAACACTTGCCTAGCACAGTAATGGCGCCAGGCAAGATGAGGCACTATAGAGGATACGATAGGGACATAAGATTCTACCCATTCCCCAGCGACGTTATATCGCGAGCTCAGTAAGAGCTATCAATATAGACTACGCGCACAACTTGATATCACGCTTGCCTCGATGTTCATGGTTCTATAGACACAAGGTATTAGTACATATCCTCATATCTTTACCTAGCGATACATTTAGCATGTAATACAGCTGTCTAATTCTGTTTTATTCGCGTTCAATATTCAGTATCCAAGCAAATTACATTCGTATTTAGCGAGTTAGAAGTTTTAGAAAATTTCAATCAAATAAAAAAATCCATTTAAATTTTGCACAACACGTTATCTATTTCATAATTATGTTCATTTATATGTTTTCACAAAAAAAAATTTAGAATAAAAAAATTATTGATCATCAATCAAGCTAAAGTATTGTATCATTTCACATACAATTAAAGATTCTAAGAAAAAACTCACGCGCAAAATAAAATAGGATGTACGATTGTTATTTATACCGCTTCCATCACGATACGTTATTTTATTAATTTTAAATAATTTTTGCGATATTAATAATATTATAGCTTAATAATTCTCTAATCCCAATGTTTGAACGTGCGATGAAACGTGACAAAGATGAGGTAAAGATGATCTGAGAAATAGTTACTTTTTATGGGATAATTTCGCGGTGAACTTTCTTAAAATCGTGCCTGTATAAACTATACCACATAGACGGCACGAAAAAGATCTCGGGATGGTCGTAAAAGACTGGAAGAGAAAATATCTTCCAGCTCATAAACCTATATAGCTTTACGAGAATTACTGGCAAATAGAAAATTATGTCGCGACCAACTTTTATTTCGAATGGTTCACGACTCGTCACGTATTAAAACGAAACCGTAATTCCGATTCGGGGCGAGTCATGACATCGCTAACTTGAAGATAAATGAAACTTGCTACACAACAGGATTATCGTAATACCTTTCCATTACGACAATCAACGACACTATATAAACAAACTAAAGAACAGGACAAATATTATAGAAAAATAAGACAAACATACTATATATAGCAAAGCCAGAGGAATTGTATTACAGCTTTACTAATGAGCTTACTATCTCAGAAATTTCTCTCTACATTTGTTATACCTCAAATACTTCAAATAATCTTCGCTAAACCGAAACTCAACATGTTTAACTTTCGTGGAATTATATATTCTTCAAAAATACTTAATTGTTATAAGAAATTTATTTATAGCATATAACGTACATTAAGAAATGTTATTTTATTATTAAAAGTAGTATTAAACTTTTACGCAAATTTACATTTCCGATTTAATTTTTGCATGAAAAAATTATTCATGTGAGACATATAAAACATATTAAAAAATGCTATTAGTAAAATTAGAGCTATTTTTTGGTAATTGCTCAAAAATTGCAAAATTCGTTGTTAAATTTGTTATATTGTGATTTTTAATTTAACGTTGGATATGTTATATAAAAAATAAATGAAAAAATAAATGAAAAATATTTTTTCCACGTTCTCCTCTTAATACTCTTGTATTCAAATATAATTCTTTAAAAAATCACGTATGTTTTATATACCGTAGAGAATTGAAATATAAAAAACCGGCTTTATCTATTTCTAGTTAGTGCTCGCATCACGTTGCATATATAATATCATCATAAATATAAATTAAGCCATAAAACGTAAGCTTAGTTTAAAAGCTTCTTTGCAAATACTCTTTACGAATTAAGTTTATATGTAATCACCAGCTACGTAAATAAGAAACTTCTCTTATAAAACTATTAAGTCGACACGCGTCAAAATAAATATAACTAAAATACGATAAAACATCCCATGAATTGAATTTTAGCATTATAAGAAAGAAAACTTATTACTTAACTTATTAGAAGATTAACATCAATAAATCAAAGGCTAAAAAAATAAAATAAATACAAATAAAACATATAATCATTCAAAATAATTCCTAATGCCGGTACTACCTTCTCTTTTCTTTTTAAAATTGAAGAGATTCTTCTCAAAATTTTCGAGCAATCTTGTTCGCGCGATATTATACACGCAGAGATGGACGTCATTAGTATTCGTCTGACTCACTCTCTCTTTTTCTCAACCTCAACAAGATTCATTCGGACATATCCGCGCGTACAGAAATGCTTCTTGGATTTTAATTAAGGTAATAATTTATTGCGAGGGAAAAACAAAGTTAATGATAAAACAACAATAAAACATCAGTAGGTGCGGCATTTCAGAACTTAACTCAGATTTCAATATTATAAATTAAGTAAAATGCAAGAAATTGCGCGAAGGAACAAAACTTGTCATTCAAATGTATAGTGTAATATTTTTAAAAAATTGTTAATTACCTTGATAAGATGTAACTAGATTTTTAATATTTCAGTAGCAACAAGTAGAAGCGACACAGTAGGCGACGCTTCGATAAATTCTAATTTTGCAGTCAATAAATTTACATCGTTTGAAAAGGTATTACGTAATTCAGAACATTAACATTGTAAGTCTCATTATGCAAGAAAGTGGAAATGACAATTTAAAAAAAAGAAACGTGGAAATGGAGGACAAAAGGATACTAAAGATTTTGTAACTTCATTAAGACCGCCTGCAATGTTATACCGCTTCTATCGTACAGAAATAAAATATATAAATCTACTTTCAGTTACAGACGACATCATATTTCTACAGTTTCAAACAAAGTTAAATACGAATTAATAAGTATATACGTTTCCATGAAATCGGTGTACCTTCAAATAAATTTAAAATATCTTTCTCCAACTAAAATATCTTGAAATATTATATTATCATTATATTATATTATACTATATTATATTATATTAATAATTATAAATATTTAAAAAATGATCTCTTTATATATTTTTAACATAAATATTTTCCTAATTCTATTGCTTGAAATTATTTTTCAGATATACAATAATAAATATTATATCGTAAATGTGAGGAAAGACTAATCACGAATTGTAATCCATTTTCATTTATCCACTTAATGGTCGTATATCTACTAATCGTCGTATATTGTAAGAAAAGCAAACAAATCCCAAACAATTTCGTACATCGATTTAGTATCTTCCAACTTCAATTTAAAGATCGCTACACCATAGCAATGGTCCATGCGAATTTATTAAGATTGACGCGAAGGGACGCGATAGTTTCTTTTGCGCTCTTCAAACATTTATATTATCCCACACAAAATACGACATGCGTGTATGCGACTAGAAGAAATAAGAAATACAAAGAAATCCACGTAATATAGGTTGCCGTATGTAGGATAGGTAGTCCAACAGTGAACTAATAGTACACTATGAACCATTGCGATATTTCGTAAATGTTACGTTATTACGCAACGACTCGTATTTAAACCCTTCCTCGGCTTGCCAGTCGATTGACAGATTGCGCCATGAGCCATATAATATCACATTTTAAGAATTTTGGGTTGCAAAATAAGTTTTTTTTGTAAGTTTT